GCAGGAGGCCGGCGAGGAGGAGAATGTCGAGAAGTACAGCAAGAGGCTGGTCAAGGTGACCCCGCAGCACACCCAGGAGTGCAAGAAGCTGCTGGAGCTGATGGGGATTCCCTACGTGGATGCTCCCGGAGAGGCGGAAGCCAGCTGCGCCGCGCTGGTGAAGGCCGGGAAGGTGTACGCGGCCGCCACGGAGGACATGGATTGCCTGACCTTCGGCAGCCCCGTGCTCATGCGACACCTCACGGCCAGCGAGACCAAGAAGCTGCCCATCCAGGAGTTCCACCTGAACCGCGTCCTGCAGGACCTGCAGCTCACCTGGGAGCAGTTCGTGGACCTGTGCATCCTGCTGGGCTGCGACTACTGCGCCAGCATCCGTGGCATCGGGCCCAAGCGCGCCGTGGAGCTCATCCGGGAGCACAAGTCCATCGAGAGGATCGTGCGGCAGCTCGACACCAAGAAGTACCCGCTGCCCGAGAACTGGCCGCACAAGGAGGCCCAGAAGCTCTTCCTGGAGCCCGAGGTGGTGGATCCCGACGCCGTGGAGCTGAAGTGGAGCGAGCCGGACGAGGAGGGGCTCGTGCAGTTCATGTGCGGGGAGAAGCAGTTCAGCGAGGAGCGGATCCGCAACGGCGTCAAGAGACTGAGCAAGAGCCGCCAGGGCAGCACCCAGGGCCGCCTGGACGACTTCTTCAAGGTCACCGGCTCCATCACCTCGGCCAAGCGCAAGGAGCCCGAGCCCAAGGGATCGGCCAGGAAGAAAGCCAAGCCCGGTGCCGCCGCCAATGCCACAAAGGCTAAAAAGAAATGACAGGGTTGGACGCCCATGAACCACTGGGATTGCGGGTTTTTGGGGACTCGGCGAGGAATTTTAGGCTAATGACAAACAGCTAGTGCTGGGAAGGAATGGATGAGGCTGGGAGAGGGGAGAGCTGGAGCAGCTTCTGAGCATAAACACTCCCAAAGTTAAGAAGTCCAGCTGCGGAGCAAACCAGGGACAAATTAGATTAACCCAATCCTGTCCATCCCAAATGAGGTAAGATGGGAGTGGAAGGCAAGCTGGAATTGGGAATGAGGCTTCAAATAATGAGGTAAAATTTTCTCTTTAATGGGAGTTTATTTAGGTTTTTCTTTCCCTTCTCGTATTCACTTTCCTTATTTAAAATCCAGTTATGATCCCAATTCCAGCAAAGTCCTGGCCTGCTCTTAGTACATAATCTGAGGAAAGCTGCTGGCTGCAGCTCTCCCAGCCTGAATCTTGCTTAAAAATGCTTAAAAATAAAAATATCCAGGAGCTTAGAAAAGCAGCCTCTTCACCCCCTGAATTCCAGAGGCATCTTTTTGTGTTGTACACACTGACAGATCCTGGGCTGGAAATTAAAAGTTAAAACTTCTTTTGAGTTCTTATTTAATTCTGTATTTTTTGTAGTTTTGTTGCTTGTTGGAGCCGCGTGCAGGGTTTTGTTTCTAGAATAAAATGTAAGAATAAAGACATTGTTTCTCTTTTTCCAGAGAAACGGCTTAAACCATGGTTGTAAATGAAAAAATCCCACTTCTAGATGGAATTCCACAACAGCAACAAACCAAGCACAGGCAGGAGCACAGAAAGTTCCAGTTTTAAGCTTTTTAGATACTTTGTAGACATCAAAATTCCATGGGTTTGCTCTCTGCCAGTTTGGGAAATAAGCTGGGCTTGTTTTGCAGGGAAATTAAGACTTATTTCATATTTCTTATCCATTAATATTGCTAAAAGTGGGATTTTGCTTCCTTGCTGTGGATTCTCTTAAATGTTTCAATCCACAATTGGTCCTAACAGGAATTTTTTAATTAAATATTCCTCTTTTATCTCCAAGTATCTTCATGGTGAGTATGTGGGAAGGTACAGGAATGGTTTTGTGGTGGAGGGATGAAAGATGATTTAAAAGTAATAATATTTGCAAATAACATCCCTAAATTGTTTATTTTCCATATGTCACAGTTTATAGGAATTACCTTACAGCTTTCCACGTGTCAGCACCTTGTTGGGATAAAACCTCAGAGAAGAACTCCTTAAAAGCTGCTTTTCCACCACCCCCTCCCTGCCTTGTGCTCTGTGGTATTCCACTCCATTTTTTCCTCCATTTCCCATTCCAAACAAAGATTCCCACTGTTTCTGATGCTGATATTAATTAATTCCAGTGTTATTAATTATTAATTAAGTATTCATTAATTCCAGTAGCACTGTTTATATCAGGAGCAAGTGGTGTGGGAAGCCAGGGATCCCAGAGGGCACGGCTGCTGGGAAGAAAGGAACCCCATTCCAGTGAACCCAGGCCAGTGGGAGCACTCAGCTTTCAGGGAAGATCCCAGTTTATTTAGCACAGAGAAACCTCCGAAGTGTCTGAGCTGCTGCCACAAACTTCATCCTGATCTTCGACAGACATCCCCAGAGAGCTCCCTGGAGATAGGGATGCTCTGGCTTCTTTTCCCGCTGGAGGATCTTGTCCAGCACTGCACGGAGGGTTTTCTCATACGGCACCGCCGTGGTGCTCCGGGAGCCATGGATTGGGCACTGCCAGCCCCGGGACACATCCTGCTGGGAATGCTTTGCTGGAATGGCCCTGGCTCCCAGTTCTATTCTCAGGCTTTTCCAGGCCGGATGGGTTCTGTTGATTCCTGTGGCTCCAAGGGAGCAGGGAAACCTGTCCACAGGGGCTCCTCCGTACGGAGTCACACAGAGGCTCTGGGAGGGATGGAGGCTTTTGCCAGGAGTGTTGAATGTGTGGGCATATTCCTTATCCAGCTCCAGAGAGGGCCCTGGAGGTGGGAACACGTTCCCTTCCCGCTGGAGGATTTTATCCAGCACCGCACGGACGGTGTTCTCGTACGGCACCGCTGCAGCTCCCTGGGAGCCGTGGGCTGGGCACCGGCGTCTTGAGGACACTTCCTGCTGTGCCACCTGCTCCTGGGAACGCCTCACTGGAATGGGCTGGGCTCCCAGTTTGACTTCCAGGTTTTTCCTGGCCATGTGCATCGTCAGGCCTGGGCAGGTTGTGCCAGTTCCTGCAGCTCTGGGGCGGGGCGGGCTGTCTGTGAGGGCTCCTCTGCCTGGACTCTGGCAGGAATCGCTGAGGCTCCGGGAGGGAATGGAACCTTTCGCGGGAGCCGAGGCTCTCCGGCGGCGTCGGGTTCTGGGAGGGGCTGAGGCTCTTGCGGATGCTTTCCGACGGATGGAGGCTCTGGATGGGCGCCGGCTCCTGGCGGGAGGGGGGCTCCCAGAGGAGCTGGATGAGCCGCAGCAGGACAGGTGGCCTCGCTCCACCAGCTTCTCCAGGTCCTCCCACAACGTCTGGCACACCATGGAATCCTGCGGGAAGGGCTCCCCGGTCCTCTCGGGCATCACCACATCCTGCAGCTCCTGAGACGCCGTGGTGCAGGGAGAGCAGTCGGGGCTGCATCCGCACGGGATGTACAGGGAGCTCCCGGGAACTTCTGGACACTGGGCAGGGGTCACCTGAGCTGGGGGGGAACTGGGACCTGCTGGTGCCACTTGGCTGTTCTGGGAGTCCCTGGCCCGGCTCCCAGTGCACTTCCAGGTCTCAGGTGTCCCCAGCGGGCGTTGCCGAAGGCGCATGGCCAGGGGCACGGCCACGGTGGCCACCAGCAGGAGCAGCACGGACAGCAGGACGCTGCCATCGCTCATGGCTCCCCACGTCCCATCGGGACCGCGCTGGGAGCCGGGGGGATGACTCCCAGTGTTACCTGGTGTCAGCGTGGTGATGTCACAGCCCTGCGGGCAGGGACACCTGTGTGATGTCACAGCCCTGTTCGTGATGTCACAGCCACCAGGCACCCCAGAGAAAGGGGCTCCCGGTGGGCACTGGAGGCCCCTCTGGAGCAGAGCGGGTGTAAGATTCTCGGTCAAGTAGGACCCAGGGAGGAGGAGGATGATGGTGTCACCTCCTGGCTGGCAGAGCAGCAGGCAGGGATTGTCCTATGGGACACTGTAGAGTCCTTGAGGAGGGAGCACCAACCAAACCAACCATGTGTGATCCACAGCATTCCCGGCCTGGATCCAAACCCAGCACTGTGCCAGCTCCTGGTGAGAAAAGGAACCCCATGAGTCCTACTAAAAGCAAACAACCAAACCACTGAGGGGGGATTGTGGAAGTGTTTTCCCTGGAGGGTGTTGGTGATGGAGAACTGCACCGGGATGGGGTGTGAGGGTAAGAGGGACACCCTATGGGGCACAGGCAGGAATGTCTCCATGGGAGCACCTGCCCTGCCACACCTACCCCGGCGCTGCCACACGGTGCCACCTGATCTGTGTGGGGACAGAAGCAGCTGGAGGGTGTCACTGTCACCATGGCTTGAGGGAGGGAGGGTCCTGTCTGACTGGTTTGATGTCCTGGATAAGATCCCCCATCCCAGAGATGATGGAAGGTGGTGGATGTTGTTTTTCAGGGTGTCAGGAAGAGTTTGGATCCCGTCCCTCCCAGCTCCTGAAGACGGTGTCCATGGAATCCTGGAATGGTTGGGGCTGGAAGACACCTTGGAAGGGTCCATGTGGGAGATGAGCAGGTCCAGGCTGAAGGAGTGCCTGGGCAGGGCCCAGTGGGAGTAGGGAATGGGGCTCCACATGCCTGGAGAGCAGTTGAGATCAAACTGGGAGGTGCTGGTGACTCCAGCCAGGGATCGAGTCCCAGAACCAGATTTGGAATCGTTCTCCCCACCCCCAGCTGTAACCTTTGGGAGCTCAGGCCACCACCTCCAGATTTCCGGGGGAGAAATCCAACTGGTGGCCTCAGACTGATCCTAATTGGCATTGTAATAATCAAACCACAATAATTACACCTGATGAATGCAATTAGAGCTTGTGTGGAGGTCAGATTTATTGAACTGAAGTACAGGAATGTGGCCAGAGGAACAAGCCAGTGGCTACTGGGCAAGACTGGGAAGGGCTTTGCTGACGCCCGGGGTGGGACTGAAGTCCAGAGTCTGGGTGAGGCTGGATTTATGTGGGATGGTGGGGAAGAGAAGAGGGAAGTTGAACTAATGAAATTAAGAAGGAAAGAAGGCAAAAGGGATCTGAGCCCTGTTTTCCCCAAGGACACACACACAGACAGAGGGACATGCTGGAATGGCACTTTACTGCTCCCTGGTGGGATCCAGGGTCTCTTGGTGGCTTCAATAGGTGCTGAAGATGGCCTGGATGTGCTCCCAGTTTTTTGGGCTGTAGCTTCCGACCCCTGTGGCAGAGGGATATGTGAGGCTGGGACATGGAGACCCCCAACATGACCCCCCACCCATCCCAGCTGCCCACCTTGCTGGAGGGGACTCCAGCAGCTGAAGAACCGCCAGTATGTCCTTTCAGTCGTGTTGCCAGCCAGCCCATGGATGGAGACCACGAAGGGACCCAAGTTAACGTAGGGCACTGTCGTGAAGCTGCCGGGGAGGTGAGTGTGCTCAGGGCTGGGTGGGAGATGGAAACCCCTCCCCTTCTCCCCCACCTGGTCCCTCTGGCTCTCACTTAAAGATGTGGGGCTTTTCATCCCTTGCCACCTCCAGCACCCGCAGCAGCCTGGAGCCAGATGGGACACACACCGAGGTGGAGTAGTGGAAGTAGTTCTTCAGCGTGTTGGTGATGGAATACTGCACCGTGAGGGGGGCTGTGGGGGAGGAGAGGGGCAGGGTGGGCAACTGGAACACTCCCACAGAGAAAGGGGCAGGAGCATGGTCCCCGTGGGGTCTGGGGGGCTCTGGGTTGGAATGCTGTGTGTCACCAGCACTGGGGACAAGGGCAGCTATCGGCTCGGGGGTGTTTGGGTGGGGGCAGCACAGCCCTACCTGCGTTGAGGTAGGACGTGCCCACGAGGCCAGGCAGGACCCGAGCGATGGCCATGGGCTGTGTGTACTTGTGCTCGTGGGTCTGGACCACATGGAAGGCCTGGGCACGGTCCCACCTCCGAGGGGCATAAAACTTCCTTGAGGACTCCAGAGCCTGCGGAGGAGGCGGAAGGTGGCACAAGCAGCCCAGGGGCAGAGCTGTGTGGCTGTGACCCCCCAGCCCCCCTCCATACCTGTATGGCCAGCCCCATGCTGGAGAGATTCCCGATCACGCCTTTCCCCTTCTTCTGCTCGTCCAGGAGGCCATTGGTCACACTGCCCAGTGCCTGCTGAATCAGGTCCTCCTGGTATGGGGCTGTGTTGTTCTCACACACCAGGGCCAGCACCGCCATGGCACGGGTGTCTGTGGGATCCTGGGCTCACTGCCAAGCCCTGGGTGGGCAGCGGGACTGTGGCAGTGCAGGGGACTCAGTAGGGCTGGAGCAGTCCCTTACCCACATCGAGGTGGCTGTGAGGCCTCAGCAACTTCTTGGCCAGGGCCACGGCTGCATGTCGGTCGTGTTCCTTCACCACACACAGGGTCAGGATGTCCAGGCTCCTGTCGTACCAGCTGATCACTGCAAGGCAAAGAGGGGTGAGCTGGGAGAGTGACACCCCCGGCCCCCTGTGCCCCCTCCCATCACACAGTACCATTATGGGTTATCTCCTCATGCATTTTCTGCTGCAGGATGGGGATCAGGTTGATGGTGTGTCCCAGGGCATGGACCTGCCGGGGGTCCTGGCAGGATGAGAGGAGGGCGAGGACATACTGAGCCACCTGTCCTGAGGTCGTCATGGCTGTGGGGGCAAGAGGACACTGGGAGCGTGGTGGGATGGGACCTGCCCCCCCAGGAGCCAGCAGTGCCAAACCTGCAGAATCTGATCCCTCAGGACCAGGGACCCCCCTCATTCCCTTCCCTACCTTTCTGGGCTCTTCTCACCACCTCCTCCTTGATCTCCTGGAGCAGCAACCTGTAGGTGGAAGTGTTGGTGTCCGCCCCAAGCAGGTTCATGGCCAGCAGGACGCTGGGGTTTGACGGTGCGTGTGGCTGGATCGAATTCTCCATGCGCCGCAGCAGCTCCCAGACCAACTTGTCACAGGAGGCCGTAGCCCAGCACCCCTCTGGCCCTGAGGGCAGGAGGTCCCCGGGACCCCCATGTTCCATCCCCTCCTGCCTCTGTAGTGTCACCGGGGTGTCTCCAGTGCCCCTGCAAGAGGATGGACACTGACCACAGCCCTGTGTGACAGTGCCACAGAGCAGGGCCAGCAGGACCCCGACACCAAAAGCCGCTCCTGGCATCCTCTGGTCCTTGGGAAAGCTGATCCACTCAGAGCAGCAGAGACCAGGGGCACTTGTCTCTCCGGGCCTCCTCCCGGCTTTTATCTGCTCCTGGTGCCATCCTTTGGTCACCTGCCCTGCCACACCTGTCCCGGCGCTGCCACCTGATCTGTGTGGTGACAGAAGCAGCTGGAGGGTGTCACTGTCACTATGGCTTAAGGAAGGGAGGGTCCTGTCTGACTGGTTTGATGTCCTGGATAAGTTCCCCCATCCCAGAGATGAGGGAAGGTGGTGGATGTTGTTTTTCAGGGTATCAGGAAGGGTTTGGATTCCGTCCCTCCCAGCTCCTTCTGGAGACGGTGTCCATGGAATCCTGGAATGGTTGGGGCTGGAAGGCGCCTTGGAAGGGTCCATGTGGGAGATGAGCAGGTCCAAGCTGAAGGAGTGTCTGGGCAGGGAACAGTGGGAGTAGTGAATGGGGGTGCACATGCCTGGAGAGCAGTTGAGATCAAACTGGGAGGTGCTGGTGACTCCAGCCAGGGATCGAGTCCCAGCATCAGGTTTGGAATCGTTCTCCCCACCCCCAGCTGCAACCTTTGGGAGCTCAGGCCACCACCTCCAGATTTCCGGGGGAGAAATCCAACTGGTGGCCTCAAGTTGATCCTAAATTGGGATTGTAATAATCAAACCACAATAATTACACCTGATGAATGCAATTAGAGCTTGTGTGGAGGTCAGATTTATTGAACTGAAGTACAGGAATGTGGCCAGAGGAACAAGCCAGTGGCTACTGGGCAAGACTGGGAAGGGCTTTGCTGACGCCCAGGGTGGGACTGAAGTCCAGAGTCTGGGTGAGGCTGGATTTGTGTGGGATGGTGGGGAAGAGAAGAGGGAAGTTGAACTAATGAAATTAAGAAGGAAAGAAGGCAAAAGGGATCTGAGCCCTGTTTTCCCCAAGGACACACACACAGACAGAGGGACATGCTGGAATGGGACTTTACTGCTCCCTGGTGGGATCCAGGGTCTCTTGGTGGCTTCAATAGGTGCTGAAGATGGCCTGGATGTGCTCCCAGTTTTTTGGGCTGTAGCTTCCGACCCCTGTGGCAGAGGGATATGTGAGGCTGGGACATGGAGCCCCCCAGCATGACCCCCCACCTTGCCTGACTGCCCACCTTGTTCCAAAGGTTTCCCAGAGCTGAGGAACTGCCAGTAGGTCCTGTCATTGTCACTGCCAGCCAGCCCATGGATGGAGACCACGAAGGGACCCCAGGATGTCTGCTCTGTCTTGAAGCTGCCGGGGAGGTGAGTGGGCTCAGGGCTGGGTGGGGAGATACCAAACCCCACCCCTCTGGCTCCTCTGGCTCTCACCTAAAGTTTTCAGGATCCATCTTCTCTGCCCTCTCCATCACCTCGAGCAGTGTGGAGCCACCTGGGACCGTCACCGAGATGCTGTAGTGCCACGGGGTTCCCTGGAGTTTGTTGGTGATGGAGTAGTGCACTGTGATGTCCTGGGACTCCTGTGGGGTTTGGGAGGCTCCAGGTGGGCTCATCATACCTCTGGGAACCCCGTGTGTCTGCAGGCTTGGGCACAGATCCGTGGGGGCACCGCAGTTCAGCGTGGCTGCATCCAGGTAGGATGTGCCCACGAGGGCCGGGAGCACCTGGGCGATGGCCATGGGCAGCTCGAAGGTGTGGCTGGTCACCACAGCAAAGGCCTGGGCACAATCCCAGTCCCGAGGGGCGTAAAAGTCCCTTGAGGCCTCCAGTGCCTGCGGAAGAGGTGGGAGGTGGTGTGACAAATCTGGGAATGGGACCGGGTGGCTGTGACGCCACATTCCCCACCCCCCGTACCTGCAGGGCCAGCCCCATGCTGTAGATATTCCCGATCAGGCCTTTCCTCTCCTCCTGCTCATCCAGGAAGTCGTTGGTCACCGTCCAAACTGCCTCGTGGAGCAGATCCTGCACCTCCAGGTCCTCCATGTTGTCGTGGGCGCACACCAGGGCCAGCACCGCCACGGCACGGGTGTCTGTGGGTCCCGGGGTCACTGCCAAGCCCTGGAGAGACCCCCCCCAGCGGGAATGTGGGAGCAGAGGGATCTCTTACCCACATCGAGGTGGCTGTTGGGGCTCAGCATCTCCTTGGCCAAGGCCACGGCTGGCGCCCGGTACCTGTCTGCCCTGGCCAGGCACAGGGCCATGGTGTCCAGGCTCATGCTGAACAGGGTGGTTTTGGGATGGCCCTTGTCCTCTGGAAAACAGAGCAGTGAGATGATGGGATGCAGGGAGGCGGACACCCCCCAGGTCCCAGCGTACCCAGTACGGCCATCTCCTCATCTGTTTTCTGCTGCAGGATGGAGATCAGGTCAATGGTCAGTCCCAGGGCATGGACCTGCCGGGGGTCCTGGCAGGACGAGAGGAGGGCGAGGACATACTGAGCCACCTGTCCTGAGGTCATGGCTGTGGGGACAAGAGGACACCGGGAGCGTGGTGGGATGGGACCTGTTCCCCCAGGAGCCAGCAGTGCCAAACCTGCAGAATCAGATCCCCCAGGACCAGGGTCCCTCCTCATTCCCTTCCCTACCTTTCTGGGCTGTCGTCACCACCTCCTCCTTGATATCCTGGAGCAGCAACTTGTAGTTGGGATTCTCGGTGTCCGCCCCAAGGAGGCTCATGGCCAGCAGGATGCTGGGATTTGGCACCTCTCCGGGCTTGATGGAGCCCTCCATGCGCTGGAGCAACTGACAGACCTGGTCCTGCGGGGCCGCTGGAAGGAGAGGGAAGGTCACCGGGATCCCCTGTCCCATCCACGGGCTCTCCGGAGTCTCCACCCTCCTACTCACCGCAGTGCTCTGTGGCCGTGCAGCCCACCAGGGCCAGCAGGACCCCCATGGCCAAAGCCAGGCCCAGCATCCTGTCGGAGCACACTGATCCACTTGGGATGGCAGAATCCCTTGGGAATTGGTCTCTCCAGGCGTCCTCGCTGCTTTTAACTGTTCCCAGTGACCTCCAGCCGCCCGTCCTCCCACGGCACCAGCGGCTTATCTGTGTGTCCAACTGTGCCCCGGCTGGGGAGGGACAGGGATTTTCCACCTGGGATCACTGGGCACCGCTTGGGCCAGTTCAATATCCATGAGGCTGTGAGGTTGGATGGGGTTCCCAGCAGGAACCTCCTTCAATCACCTACCCAAGGTCCTGGAAGCCCCAGGAGGTCTGTGCTGGCTGGACTCTCTCCAGCTGTATCCCACTTGGGCTTTCCAGGAAACTCCAACCTTGTTGATCTAACCTTGGTACCGGGAAAAACAGTGGGAAAGGACGTACTGGGCAGTACTGGGAAGCAATCCAAGGATAATTCCAGCATCAGGTGCGGGATAACAGAGGGAAATTCCTGTCTAACTGGTTTCTTATCCCGCTACCATAAGGTCACCCAGGTGATGGGAAGGCACTGCATGTAATTTTTGGGATTTTAGTAGGAGTTTTGCTCCAGCCCCCTCACAGAATCCTTCTGGAGAAGGCGTCCAGCTGTGGGATGGGCAGGTACAGGGTGTGCTGGGCAAAGAACTGGCTGCTGTACTGGTTTCACTGGGATAGGGGCCATTTTATTCCAGGTACTGGGTTTGGATTCAGGACAGGGATGCTGTGTGTCACACATGGATGATTTGGTGTGTTATCACCGAGGACTCTGCAGTGTTCCACCGGAGAATCCATGTTTCCCATGCTCTGCCAGCCAGGAGGTGACACCATCATCCTCCTCCTCACATCATCATCACTGTGTCCTGCTTGCCCAAGAATATTCCATGTGCTCTGCTCCAGGGGGGCCTCCAGTGGCCCCCGGGAGCCCCTTTGTCCCCCTGAGCACTGGGGTGACCTGGGGCTGTGATGTCACACAGGAGTCCTCATCTGCAGGGCTGTGACATTGCACATCCTACCACCCCCTGGCTCCCGGTAGGGTCCTGGCAGATTGCCCTAAGAAGGGGAGGTGACAGCCCCAAAATGCCTGAAAATTCGCGAGGGGGGGGGGTGTGTGTAAGACACTGCAGAGTTCCTCATTTTTATATATATTGGGAAATAATATTATTTTATTTCAAAATCGATTTCAGAATGAACTCCCGTGTCTGGTGTGTTATAGACAGGATTTTATTCCATAGGAGAGTCTGAACGTGGATCTGTAGGGTTTGGAAATACAAATCTAACGTTTGTGTATAGAAATAAAGCAATAAAGGACTTAGAAATGTACCAGGTGACCTGTATGGAGGAACAAGAAGCAGCTCTGCGCATTCAGATGTTTTTCCTCTCTCCCCTCGCTGTAACTCCCCAAATCCGGGATCGGGGCCGGGATTTCAGTGGGGGCTCGTTAATTAACCCGCGTTAATGGCTCTTTGCGCTCAGTGCTGCCGTCTGCTGGGAACCCCCGGCACTGCAGCTCGGCACCGGGAATGGGAGCTGCACCGGGAATGGGAGCGGGATCGGGAATGGGAGCGGCACCGGGACCGGGAACGAGAGCGGCACCGGGAATGGGAATGCGAGCGGGAGCGGGAATGGGAGCGGGACTGTGAATGGGAACGGGAGCGGCACCGCCCGGGGATGAACCGAGCGGGGCTGCCCGGGCACGGAGGGGAGGTGCGGGGGGCTCGGTGTCTCGGCTGAGTCTCGGTGTCCCGGTGCAGGGATCGGTGTCCCGTGATCGGTGTCCCGGATGGGTCTCGGTGTCCTGGCGCAGGGATCGGTGTCTCGGGATCGGTGTCCCGGAGGGGTCTCGGTGTCTCGGATGGGATCGGCACAGGGATCGGTATCCCGATGGGATTCCCGGGAAGGCGGCGGCACCGGGAGCTGCGGGCTCGGGGCACCGGAGGCTCCCCTCGCCCACGCAGGTCCCGGGGCTTCACTGTCGGGGGGATTCTGTAGGGGACAAAGGGGACATGCTGGGGAGAGAGTGGACATTTTGGGGTAAAACTGAGGGGATCGGTGGTGGACAGGTAGGGAAAATCCCAGCCTGGATAAAATGGATTATAAAACCCACCTGTGAAACCGGAGCTGTTCCAGTAGCTTTTCTTCCCGTTGCTCCCCAGGTGTTTTCCTTATTTTCTGGTTTTCAGAAAGGAGCGTGGTTTGGGGTGTCACAGTTGTGCAAAGTTCTCGGTTTTCCTTAACTG